TGTGGTGGAAAAAAAATGTTGTGCGAAGTATTAGATGTAAGAGACGTCCTGAAAACTCAGACTCTTAAAAAAAAAAAAAAAAACAGTTCTGGATGTATAAATACTGCTAAGTGACAGATCAGTGTCTTATCTTTTATGAGGTGGAATTTCCAAACTTCCCCAGGTGATTGGCTTTGCTTAGATTGTGAGAGGAATCAGGACTAATCTGTGTGCCTGTATACTAATTGCTGATTGAGAATCAGTAGGTAATTGAACCACTGAAACCTTCGCTGGTTGTCTGTAGGTCATGGAGCATAAAAAGAGGTAGCAAGACACACTAGCAGCTGTAATTTAAGCTTCACCCCTGCAACGGGAGCTACAACAACTCAGGTCAGATGCAAGACCCACGCAGCCTTCTTAGCTATGGGAGCAGCAAGCTCCAGGCAAATACTGGAAAATAATATTTAAATGTCTGAGCTGTTGATTGCATGCATTAGTAATTAGTAAGATATTTAGCTGTATTTTCTAAGGAAGGAGATGTGACATGGATTTATAAATAACCACCTGAATTGTATCCATAGATATTACAAAACACATATTAAGGAGGCTCTCACTCCCTTCTTAGTGAGAATGGTGGGGGATGTTTGGGATGTTACTCAGACCTGATAGAGGGTGGGAGATGAAAGCTTTTATTGTGTGTCTACTATTTTCTTTAATCTAAACCAATTTTCATTTCTCCGGCCTTGGTTTTTTATAGAAAATTTATTTGCAGGAAGTTATATGTATGAGCAAAACCTCTTAATGACATTAAATAATATAAAAATTACAGAAATCAGAGCACTCCAAAAGTATGTAACAGAGTGTTGCACACCCTTGATAAATAACTGCATGATTCTGTCTTTGTTTTTGACCTCACTTCATAGCTTTGTGCAAATCACTTTCCCTTCTTTTTCACTTCCATGGATAAAATGGGATAATGATATTTAAGTACAATATTTCATAAAAATACTGTGCAGACCCATTAATAAATCCATTTGCAGGTCTTCGATTACCCTCAGTATATCAAAATGTCACTACTGCACTTGCTGACTGCACTTATTTAATTTCCTAGTTCTACTCAACTTCTAGATTATATAAAATGATATTTTCTGACATAACTTACGATACAACTAAAACTATCACTCTGAAAGTCACTTCAACACTCATCCACTACCCCTTAGACAAAGCTATAAAGTACACAGATTGTCTTTTCTTCAGTTATTATAAAGATTTATTGGATCTCTAGCTCTAATATCCACTGAAGGTTTTCTCTGTCAGTATTAACTCCTTAGATCAATAAATTGTGATAGTGGTCTCCTGAGGAGTCAGTGTCTGCCAGCTACCATTGCAGTGTTTACCGCTGTTGAAAAGCAGTTGTAGCAAATTAAATTGGCTTCTGTTGGTGGATGGTCCTTATTTTATGGCACAATTAATGAAGGCTGACAGATAGGCCACTTCTTAAAGAACATCAGATTAAAGGCAAGGATTTGTAGCAAGAAAAATCTGAATTTATATGGTGAATCTGCTTTCATTTATAGAAGAGTGGTTGAAGATTGGAAAAGGACTCTTGAAAAGAAGGAGTCCTTTTAAAAACAGGAGTGTGTTTTTAACACTGTGCACATACCTTATCGTCTGTGTTGCTGAAGAGCTGCTGACTACATTCTCTAATCTGCTGTTAGACAGTTTACTTTGTTATGTAGGTTTGTGAAGTGTTCTGCTTTGAGGAAGGTAGAGACAAGTGGAATAAAACAAAACCAAGCCTGTAACTACTTTAAAACAACTCTAGAAACAGCTGCTTTCACTTCCATCTAGCTCAAATAATGAGAATTTTTCCTCAAACAGGATCTTGACCTTGGATCTACAAAATGGATGTAGCAATGGGAAAAGTTTGTTCTCTTGGGCTTGTTTTCTTCCTTTGCCTCATTAGACTGATTCTAGAAATTAGAACAAAACATAAATGTTGATCTTTACAGTTATGGAAGATTTATTGACAAAATTCTAATAATGTCAGTTTTCTGGATATTAGCAGCCTGTTCCAAACAAACAAACAAACAAAAAAAAAAAAAAGGCCTAAAAGCAGTGAGAGAAATGCTCATGGATTTTTTTTTTGACATGGGCAAGATGGTATTTTTCTCCACTGTTGTTCTGAGAAATACTTGAATTGCTTGGTGTTCAGATATTTTGAAAATTTAGTTTAGGTGATTAAAGCTGTGCAAATTTTCTGCCCTCTGGTAAACTGAGAGATTTCCAGTGGCACATGGAAAAGGCTCAGTCAACAAAACCCAGCTGTGCATTTTGTACATAAAAAAACCACATATTAAAATGATAGTTGCACAGCAAAGTACTGCAAAATCAGATGTCCTGATTTTGCCTAATGTTTTGAATTAAGATGCAAATTATGTTTGTTTATCATTTGCAATGACTTACAACATGTAATTATAGCCTCATGGTATAGCATCTTCTGGTTAATTTATAACTAAAACCTATCAAGTTTATGCTGGACGTGAAGTGAGTGGCTGCTTTTATGAGAACATAATTAGTTTAGACAACATCAAATAATTCTCCATTGAGTAAATTCCTCACAGTGATTTTTTTTTTGATATGTATGGGGAGCTTTAGACTGCAAAGTGTGATTATGATAAGTGCACCACAGAGAGCAAATTTAAGTGGGGAGTGTGGTGTTGTTTGAAATTCTTAGTATATGGCTTCAGGTAGGCAAGCTGTCAACAGCTTTCATAGCAGTGATTAGTTTGTTAGGGTTTGGGTTTTTTGAGAAACACCCTTTTGGTGCTGTCTCACGCAGTCCTCCACTGTAATAAACTATGTTAGTGCCACTGGGTTTAATTAATTTACACAGACACAGATAGTGCTCTGCTTTCTTAGGGAGGAAAATTACTGAATGTGTTGGAGGGGCCACTGAGAGTATGTATATATGGACAGCTCTAGGCTCTCCTGCCAGTGCTCCTGTCTGGCCAGACTCAAGTTATTTTCAGTCCAGAAGCCATGTAGTCATGGTGCCCCTCCTAACATACCCCTCACACCCCTCACTTTTGGTTCAGGCATGGTGCTACATCAGTGTGACATCAGACCTGGGCTAGCCCCTGTCCAGTCATCATGGAAGAGCAGATGTTTTTCTGAGGCCATCCTCTGGATGTGCCCTGAGATGTTTTGTGACAACACCAGTGTCATCATCAGGGGTGTTAAACCTTCCTTGGATTCTAGCTATCCCTGTACAATGTGCAGCTCATGCTTTGCAGATTTTCCTAGTGATGCTGTTTCAGTTCTTAAAGATGGGTCTGTCCTCCTGCACACTTCTAATAGCAAATTAGGGCATTTGATTTGGTTTGGAAATCAGATGCTTGATTTTTTTCCCCCCTCTCTTAGTTTTTTTTCCTATGCTATATAAATTAAAAGTAAATTGTGTTCTGTTGAGCTGCTGGCATGTGAGGCAAAACAGAAGTGTCCAGTTTTGTCTGCAGTCTTTGTTTAATGTAGAACAGCTAAGTTCCACTTCATTTTGTGAATATTACTGCCCAGTTTTCTTGATGATCAGGTGCAGGAGTCCGAGTTAAAATTTGTAATGTTTCTGAATACAATGGATTTTGCAGAGATACTGGCTTTGTGACATGCTGCCATCTCTATTCCTCAGCAGAGTCTCTGTGTTCCGTGGGTTACAAATTACCTGTCTCTTTCTTAGGATATAATTACCATGGCCCCCTTTTTTCTCATTTACTTGCATCCCTGTTATTTAGCAAGTAACTGTTGTCTTTTCTTTCAGCTATGGTGTAACTGATAGGTATTTAATTTAACTCACATTTTCTCAGTGGGTGTTAACTTTGAAGTCTCTGTGCCCTGTTTTGGATTTGACATGAGGGTTTCATACCCAAAATGTTTCTTTTTTCATCCGTGACCAGTTGGCTGAGTAAAATGCAGTGTCTCTCCATAAGCATCTTCTGATGAATGAACTATTAGAAATTACTGGGTGGAGCAGTGTGCTTCACTTGCAGAATTTGGTTTATCAAAGAACTTAGAGTAGATTCATAGTGATGCAAAAACAGGTGTTGGAAATTGAATTTATGAAATCATTCTGCATTGCAGTGCTACATTGTGAAAAAGGATGCACTCCTAGGTCATGCAAACTTGTTGATATTTTTTAAAATCTTAATTTCTGTTTTATGGTGGTCATGATGGATTTTCATTTTTTTAGCACTTAGGGACTTTTTTTCCCCAAGAGATAGCATTATTCTAGTTTTCTCCAGAACAACGGTGATATTGTTTATATATGTTTTTAAACTTCAGATTTGGTTCTTCTATTATTATTACCTTTCTATATTGTTAAGAGTCGCACACTTGTTTTGATATGTCACATCTGTGAAAATAATGATCATGCTAACCAGCAAGTTAGTGAAATATGATTTGAAGAGAGTGGGGCTCTAGGTCAATCTTTCAAGCATTTTGACTTGACATATCCATTGAAGTAGACTGAATTATTTTGATTTATAACTTTGGTCTTCACTGTTTCTTTTCTTATATTAGTGCTTGTTAGGTATATTGACTCATGTAAATGAGATCTTTTTTTTAAACATAGAACCTAATATTTTCCTGCAATGTATTGCTTTCCTGTTAATGTTTCCTTCTAAATATGTTGTTGAGCCATCCCAAAAATAATTTAAAATTTTATGTCATAATTTCTTTTGAGTTGAATAAATTTTTCTGTGTGAACAAATATGAACAGCGTGTTTGTGTACTTGTGTGTTTCAGTCTTTGAATAGAGAGTTAATTCAAAATAAAATGCAAGTACTTACCCATTAGTGAAATACTTGAACTAATTACAAGCAAATACAGTTTGCAGTTGTCAGTCTAATTCTGTTGGATTTCCAGTGCTGTTTTCAAGCTCTTTCGTCCCCCCCTCCTCCAAAATGTAAAAAAGTTATCAATAGAACCAGATTGGAAATGCAAACCCCTATGTGCTTTTCTTTCAGAGTACGGACATGAGCCCAGCTGGCAGCACAGCCTCCCTCCCTGTTAGCCCCCTTCCTGAGGAGCCATTGTTTTTTAAGGTACAGTTAATTCATTTAATCATAAATATTGTCTATTAATCTTGGCTTATCACATTATCTGCTGTACTGTGAAATGCTATTGTTGCTTCTTCCTTTTCTTCAAATTTCTGTGATGTCAGCTGATGTTCTGTGTATATAACATGCAATTTTCAAGAAACACCTAGAATACAAAGTTGGTTTTGAATAGTTTTCCAGCAGACTGCAGCTGTGAACTGTTATTTTTAGGACTGTGTTTTTATCCATCATCCCATTTGGATATGTGCATTGCTGTATAAGTGTGTGACATAAACAGATTTCTCTTATTTTGTATTTCAAGTATATATTTTAACAAAACAATGATTAGTTTCTCCAAGGATACAGGAGACATTAAAGGTATCTCAAAGAATGGTTTTGGCATAAGTCCAGTGTAAGCCACAGGCCTGGCGTTTTAGTTAATAATAAATGTTGGGACAATGTCCATAACCTCATGAGGTTTAACCTGTGAGGAGTGAGTTGCCATATGTCACTTTTTCAGCTAACACCATGGTATCTATCCCTGGGACACAGAATAGCCTTAGGCAGATCCTCTTGGAAGTGGTGTCCTGAGGCCACCCAGGTACTCAGAGCAGTGCTGCATCATCTAGCAAAGAGGTCACCTTGCCAGTTGTTCCCTTAGATAAGGAAGAGGGAACTTGAGCTTTCAGCACCATTCACTCAGTTGGGTGTCATAATATGGACTAAGTCACACTCACAGGAATATCCTTTTAAAAATTTTCCCGCTCCCAAGTAAGTTTCCACCTTCTGCGTTCATACAAGCAGTTGACTGAGTTGATTTTTAGTCACTTTGTGATGATGCTAAGTTAAAGCTGAGTAACTGGAATTATTGAAATTTGGTGATGTAAAGTTCGTGTCTCTACTGCATGTTCTTCCAGCTCAGAAAATAACAGTGTCCTTCAGACCTGGCCAAGCCCAGAAAAGAAAGTCTTTTTTTTCCCCCGCATATTTTTAGTGTCTGTGCAACAGTTGTACAACCAGCCAGCTGATTTTTGCTATTAGAAGGGTTGAGGATTGTGCTTGCTCAGTTGTTTCATCGGTGGAGGTACAGATGGCGTATCACTGATCAGCTATTCACTCATTCTTTTTCCTCATTTGGGATTTAACACTTTTAAGACTCTGTCACTCAGATTTGGCTGAAATTGAGCAATGTTTTGCCCAGATACCAGGGTACACATCGTTATTTCTTTGCAACACCACTTTAAATGCATATTGAAGACTGCTCAACATTCTAAGTCGGATTCAGTAGTTGAGTCTCCCTGTGCCCGGAAAACCACTAAGATATTACACTTAGAAAGAAATGGGCTGCTCAGCTCAGATAAAGGTGTAAGAGGTAAGAAAATCTGACTTGATAATTTTCATGCTGAGGTAATCAAACATTGCTCTGTTTGCATCGGGGCATTGACAAGTGCACTGTAGTGCCTTTATTTTTTAAGGAAATGGTGTTCCTATAACCCAGAATGGGTTGTAAATTACTTATTTGAAGTGGAATAGTTGCTCTAATAAAACAATAAAGATGTTTTTCATATTAAAAGTCTAGTAGAAATGGTAAAAGAAACTGAAAATAGGGCAGAGAGCATTACTTAATCTTTCATTCTCAGTCAATTTTCAAACCAAGAAACATTTTCCTTTGCAATTCAAGTAAAATGAATGGAGGTCAGACCAGGAAAAAGTTAAGTGCATTTCACAGCATTTAGTAGAAATAAAAATAATATAAAATGTAACAGTTTCTGTTATTTCTCCTTGGCTCACTCCAAGAGAGAGCACTATTGTTCCAGTTGTAATGTGAATGACTGGTTTTACAAGCCATAAGCCTCTCCGAATACTGTCAGTCAATAATATTGGCTTTTGATGATGGGATGGTGCATTTCCCTTAGCAGCATGATAATAACCTTTCCCACATCCTTGCTGTGAAGAAGGAGATTGAAAAAGAAATTCCAATCTGTGGTTCAGAAAGCACAGGTGTAACGAAGCAGGGCCCTATAAACTGCCTCTCTTTGGGACAGTTGAAGATCTCTGAGCTAATGAGCTTTTATATTAGGCTGTGAAATGAAACCAAGCCTGGGTTCTCAGTCATACCTGGTTTTATACCAAGAAAGAGAACTGTCCTTCCTTGGATTTTAACAATTTGCCTTCAAAAGAAAATCTTCATTTCTGCATAAGGAAAGAATACGAATCCTGTCACCATACTCTTCTTGTATATCCAACTTCACCAAAGCAGATGCCTGTCATTTTTAGTCCCACAGGATATGTGCTGGAAAAATATGGAGAACCTAAGATTGTAGAAAATCATTTTAAGATTTTGAATTTAATCTAATGAAAGTGAGAAACCAGATTTCCCTGGAAGTACTTGCAAGGTGCATCTCAGCTCTGCTAACGAATCTCAGCTACCATTCTCCCAATATATTGCACATGCTGTGACTTGCAGAAAGATCCAAATCACATAAGACCCTGCTCAGGAGTGTTTGGAGCAAGATATTTTCCAGTGCAGCCAGAGATAGTCCACCTGAGTCCATCATATACCACTACTTTAACTGAGTCATTGTGCTTTACTTACATCAAGATAGTACCTTTAAAAGTGTATCACTGATACCCAGCAAAAGGAGTAGAAAACAATTGGGTAAGAAATAAAGGTAGCCAACGCCAGAGCTGTTGAATCCAAGAAGCAACCATGAGAAAATTACCAGATAAACATACAGTTAATACCATTCAGCAACCTTTCCTCCATAAGTGTTGTAAATAGTAGATTTGGTTTTCCTTGGGGAAAGGGGCAACTTTGCACAGCATCCAGTACAGCCAGTTTTCTGTGTGGCTTTGGGTTCCTTCTCCCTGTGGAGTTAGCAACAGACAGACATTCAGAGCAGTCTTCTTTAGCTGTGCTCTTCCAAATCTCAGAAAAAAATCCTGTTCAGCCATGTACACAGACACTTAGACAAAATGTTTCTACAACCATTTTTGATAAAGCCATCATAGGCATTTCTTCTTAATGAGGGTTATTTTCATGTAACATTCCAGCTTTCAATCCTCTGCTGTTTTCCATGTGTTTAGAAAAAGGAATAACTTTTCCTATATTGTAGAAAAAGTTTATTTCTCCTCTCAGAAAACATCATCTTTGGTGGTTTTGCATTTAAACTTTCAAGAAGGGAGGATCTTCTTTTGAAGAGAGGTTTCTTCTGCTATCCCTTTATAATATTTCTTCAAGAAATAGGTCTTTGTCTTGTGGGAAAAAGTTATGTCACAATTGAAATATTCTAGAACTAAGAATTTGGAATATAATGGAGCAGAATGGTATTTGTCATGCAACCTTAAGTGTTATTCTGTGTTATAATAGCAAAGCTGTAGCTGGCTCAAATGTGAGTGACTTTTAATTATGAGTACTTATATCCGCTCTCATTAGCTAGAATTAAAAATAATCCTGCCTTTCATTTAGAAGATAAGTGAAGGAGTGGGTATTTCTGAAAGGTCAACTTAGCAAGCAATGTCTCATCCAATTTTTGGAACCTGTTCTTTTCTCCTACACATTATCCTGTGCTTTATAATAATAGTATTTTATTATTATTAAATTATTTTTAAATATAGTGACAGTCTTTTAAGAAGAGATCTATGACAGCCATTTGGTACATCAAATATCTAATATTACCTAATTATACATTATCTGTTGTAATGAGCATCAGTCTCACTGGTTATTAGTCACAGCCAAGTTGTAAATAATAACCATATTAGCAATTTATTGTAGAGATGTTTAATTGTGTCTCAATTCTGATTAATTTCAACCATGCTTTACTAATTGGCATTAAATGAAAGAAAAAATTCCTCCATTATTTCTTTTCTCCTTTGAGGGAGCTGAGAATTTCCTTCAGTATTTATTATCCTACTGTGTTCTGACTTCTGTAATTAATACCCTTGATGCAAATTCCTTCAGTAAGAAAACAGCAGTGCCAGGTCAAGTAGCAAAAGCTGACAGTCCTCAGTAGTGTTACCACTGCTGTAGGTCTGGTAAAGTGTAATCTGTACTAAATTATGTCTATACTTAAAGTTTTACTGTTCATCCTGCAGCTTTACAGGCTCTGAAAATGCAAATCAGTGCAGTTCATGAATGGGCATGAGCTCTGGCAGCTCCTGACATTTGTGCCTGGAATTAGCAAGAGATAAATTATCCATTTGATCTGTAGTCACAATTTAATTTTACTGCAGATATTTGGAATAATCATTATGAAAGGCACAGTAATGACTGCTGGTTAGCCCAGGGAACTCATCTTTCAGAGTGGGACTCTGTATTTCTAGGTGTAGAATGAGATCTTTTCTTAACTTACCCAGCAATGATGAGTAGTAGTAGATGAGTAATGATGGGCCTGTCGTTCCAAAAGCTTCCTATGCTTGACGCAGTTGACACAGCCAGCTTATTTACCCTCTCTACCTTAAATGCACTTTTCCCAATATTTTAAGTATTTACTGTCACTTCCTTAATTGGGAAGAATTTAATGTGTTGCTTTGTGTTCAAAACAGACTCTGAAATAATGACACAGGCATTGTGACCCCATGGCAGATACAGCAAGTTTGGGTTCAGTGATGCTCTGCAGTGGGCTGGAGGCCTCATTAGCTCTCATTCCTCTCATTTCACCCTCCAGCTGAATTTCTGCTTCTGCTGAGAAGCATATGAAGCCTCTGTGTTTTTTGGGGTTGTTTGTTTTGGGGATGCTTTTGATATTTTAGTCAAGTGAGTAGAGTTGTAGAAGTATGACTCACACAACCCCACCTTTACTGTTCTGCTGCCTCAGTCTCCATCCTATTTTAAACCAGTCTGTCATCATTCTTCAGTGGTTTAATCGATTCCTCCCACTCTTAATTGTTCTCTCCCGTGTCAGTATTTCCTTTCTTTATGACTCCTGGGCTGGTATAGCACAAACTTTTAAAAGTCACATCATCACAGCAGCTTTCTGCCTTTGGTGCAAGCCTTCCATTTTGTC